GAAGTTAATGAAGTGGACACCTGAATTTGATCCCTCAAAGGAACCCCCTGTAGTTCCTATTTGGTTCAAATTCCCCAACCTACCCATTCAGTACTTCCATCAAAATGTTCTTTTCAGCATCAGTAGGGTGCTTGGCTGCCCACTGAAAATTGATGCCCCTACCTATAATATGGCTAGACCTGCTCGTGCTAGAGTTTTGGTAGAAAGGGACATCTCACTACCTGATATAGATAGGGTGTGGATTGGTACTTCTGAAGAAGGATTTTGGCAGCAAATAGTAATGGAACAAAAGCTAGGATATTTTCAATATTGTAAAATGTTTGGAAATAATGTGGAAAGGTGCTATAGACTACACCCTGCATCTAAAAGAAAAACTGCTGGGGTCAGAAATAGTTATAGACAAGTAGAAACAAATGGAATGGTAGTTGCAGCTGTTGAAACTGAGGTTGTTGTTAAAAATACTATTGGGGTTAAACCCAATAATGGTTCTGTGGAGCAAGAGGAAGCCATTGGCATTAACAGAAATTTGAAGGGAAATATTATGCATGATGACAACTTAATCAGTATTAATCCAATTAGAGTTGAAGACCAGAGAATTGACAGTTTGACTGATGTCTTAACTTAAGATTGGTAAGTTCAAAGAAGCAATAAAAAGAAAAAAGGCAAGTTAGAATTTAAACAAACTTTGGAGGGCTCAACTAATTTGGATCACCATCCAAGGACTAGGGGGAAAGGGAGGACCTTCTCTCAACGATTAAGTTTCTTGTTTGGAACATTAGGGGTATTGCTCACCCCTCTTCTCTCAAAAGATTAAAAAATCTAGTCAAAGTCCATAAAGTTTGGTGTTTTGCCATTCTTGAACCTTTAATTACTGAAAATTCCCAAAAAATTCAAAAGAAGTTCCCTCAATCTGATCATTTTTCTAACTCCAATAATAAAATTTGGCTTTTTGCTAGAGCTGAATTACATTGGTCTATTTTGATAAATCATTCTCAGTTTATTCACATCCAATTCTATATTGGAGCTCAAGTTGGCTATGTCACTTTCATTTATGCCAGTAGGCTTGCCAACGACCAAGCCACCTTATGGAATGAGTTGATTCTGATTGGACAAGCTGTAAACTCTTTTTGGATTTTGGGGGGTGACTTAAACTGTCTTTCCTCTCTTGGTGAAAGAAAAGGTGGTAGACCTCCCACAGTCTCTGCAATAAAAAAATTCAATGATTTTCTCTCTGAGGCTGAG